AAATAGTTACAAACTATAGTACTATATAGGTAAACTCTTGGTTTATAACAATATTATACTATAGTACTATAAGTCTAAGAATATTTTACGTAGTTATAATATTATTTAAAAATTAGCTACCTTATATAGTATTTATATAAATCATCTACTTACTAAGAGAATACTTCTCTTTATTCTATATTTTTCTTAATACCTCTATATACTTTAAAATATTTATAAATATTTACTTATATCTATTAACTACTAAGAATATATAGTATAGACTAAATTTTCTTTTCTACTTATAATAGAGGCCTCTATTCTTAAAAATACCTAAGCTATAAGTATAATAGAATATATAACTATAGTAGAACTTACTACTTATAAAAGTAGCTTATTTAACTATCTAATTCTTACTAGAGACTTTAAGATAGTAGGCCTAAAAACCTTAGCTATAAAAATAGAGCTAGTAAAAAGCTTTTAATATAATAGTATTAAGATTATAGTAGTAGTTAACTTAGACTAAAAACGCCTTATAAATATAAATATTATAGCTATATAGTATCCAGCCTATATAAGACTTTTTTTTTCTACTATATAAATAATTACAGAAATATAGTTTAGTTAACTTTTAATACTAAATAAAAAACTAGCTAGTTTAGTAGTTATACTAGTAACTTAAAAAAAGCTAAAGTTTATTAAAGTTATACGTAATAAAATTTCTATTACCTAAAAGTAGGTAGCGCTTTACTAGCTCTAGAAGACGCTAGAATTGTAGTATAGTATTAGGCTATACTAATAAATATAAAATAATAGGTAGAGTAGATAGTTAGAATAATAAAGAATAGCGTATTATAGCTAATATAGCTAGGCTTACTAGGTAATTACGCATAGAATATAGGTTGCAAATAATTATATAGATATTATATAGATGTCTTAGCCTCTATAGACCTAAGAGATAGAGCCTATAGTGTACTTATTTTAGAATTACGTAATTGTTATATAATAATATAATTATATAATAATATAGTACTATATTAGACTCTAAAAGCAAACTTAAAAAATCTCTAACGTAAGCCTAGATTTGTAACTTACAACTTTACGCTATATTCTATAATTACTACTAATACAATAGTTACTACGCGCGTAATTATAACACGCTAACTATTTTATATTTATTCTATATTACTAAAAGTTATCTAGATTATTCATTAGTAGTAGTACTAATACCTACTTTATATAATTGCGTAATCCTAAAAGAAAACCTAGTAAGTCTACCTATACTAATATAAAGCCTCTAAGATAACCTAAGATATCTATACAATTACTAGTAACTTATATTCTATATACAATTATTTATAAGCTTAACTATATTAGCTATATTATACTATCTTTTATTATTTTAATTATCTACTCTACTTTTTATTACGCGTCTATTAATATAGCCTAATACTATACTATAGTTCTAGTACTTTCTAAAGCTTATAAAGTACTACCTATTATTAGCTAATAAAAATAATATTACACATAACCTTTATAAACTTAAGCTTCTTTTAAGTTACTAGTATAACTACTAAACTAGCTAGTTATTTATTTAATATTAAAAGTTAACTAAACTATTCTTCTATAATTATCTATGTAGTAGAAGAAAAAAAGTCTATATAAGCTAGATAGTATATAGCTATAATATATAAGCTTGTAAGGTGTCTTTAGTCTAAATTAATTACTACTATAATTTTAATACTCTTATATTAGAAGCTCTTTACTAGTCTTATCTATATAGCTAAGGCCTTTAGGTCTACTATCTTAGAGTCTTTAGTAAGAACTAGAAAGTTAAATAAGCTACTTTTATAAGTAGTAAGCTCTACTATAATTTTATATCCTATTATACTAATTATAGTAGAGTGCTAATGTAGAGTAGAGTAATAAAACATAGTTACTAACTCTATATAGTAATCTTAATATAGGTGTATTTCCTAAACACTCTACATTTACTATATATAGCTATAGAAATTAATAAAACTCTTTTTATAATATTTACTATAGATCTAGTGTATTAATAATATAATTATAAGTAGTAATAGTAATAGAGACTTCTTATAAACTTAGAAGTAGACTTAGAGGTATATATAGTTAAGCTATAGAGCTACATTCTCTCTCTAAAGACATTAATATAGAAATAAGCTTTTAGAAAGTAATAATAGGTAAGCTCTTATTAGTAGAAGAGCTAGAAGTTAGAACGTAGTATAGTATTAAATAGAAGCCTTTATATTAGCCTTAGAAGTAGGTAAATTTAGGACAGCTTTAGACTACAGTACTACGTAGGTAAACTATAGGTTTAAGACAATATTATACTATAGTGCTATAAGTCTAAAGGTATTTCGCGTAGTTAAAATGTAGTTTAGAGAATAGCTACTTTACGTAGTATTTATATATAAGTTCTACGTACTTAAAGAATACTTCTTTTTATCTTATATCTTTCTTAATACCTTTATATACTTTAAAATATTTATAAATATCTACTAACATGTCTATTAACTACTAAGAATATATAGTATAGACTAACTTCTTTTCTATACTTAAAATAGAGGCCTCTATTCTTAAGAATACCTAGGCTATTAGCGTAATAGAATATATAACTATAGTAGAACTTACTACTTATAGAAGTAGCTTATTTAACTTTTTAGTTCTTACTAGAGACTCTAAGATAGTAGACCTAATAACCTTAGCTATAAGAATAGAGCTAGTAAAGAGCTTCTAATATAATAGTATTAGAATTATAGTAGTAATTAACTTAAACTAAAAACGCCTTGTAGGCTTATATATTATAGCTATATAGTGTCTAGCCTATATAAACCTTTTTTCTTCTACTACGCAGACAATTATAGAAGAATAGTTTAGTTAACTTTTAACACTAGATAAGAAACTAGCTAGTTTAGTAGTTATACTAGTAACCTAAAAGGAGCTTAAGTTTATTAAGGTTACGCGCAATAATATTTCTATTAGCTAGAAGTAGGCGGCGCTTTACTAGCTCTAGAAGGCGCTAGAATTATAGTGTAGTATTAGGCTATGCTAACAGACGCGCGATAATAGGTAGGGTAGATAGTTAGAATAATAGAGAATAGCGTAATATAGCTAATATAGCTAGGCTTACTAAGTAATTACGCATAGAATATAGGTTGCTAGTAATTATATAAGTATTATATAGGTGTCTTAGGTTGTCTTAGGGGCTTTATACTAGTGCAGGTAGACTTGCTAGGTTTTCTTTTAGTGTTGCTTAATTATATAAGGCTAGTATTAGTGCTAGTTAATAATCTAAAGAACTATTAGTAATATAGAATAAATTTAGAGCGCGTCGCAATAATTGCGCGCGTAAAAATAGTTGTCTTAGTAATTATAGAATATAGCGTAAAGTTGTTAGGCGCAAATCTAGGCTTATATTAGAGATCTTTAAGTTTACTATTAGATTTAATATAGTAACGCGTTATTACGTAATTCTAAAAAAAGTACACTATAGATCCTGTCTCTTAGGCCTAGAGAGGGCAAATATATAATTATAAAGTAGAGGTAGCCTTCTAATCTTATCTTACTATTTTTAACGCTATACTATACTAAAGTAAGTTATAATAAGCTATAATAGTGGTAGTCTTAGTAGGGTCTTAGCACAGGTAACCTACAAAGCGTGCACCCATGTTAGACAAATTCAATAACCTAGAAAGCTAAAGCTTTATAGAGACTGTATTTGGAAGTTTCTTCTTAGAATTAGTCCTGAAATATTCTAAGCTTAGAACTGTTCTGATTTCTGGAAAAGATCTCCGAAGGCTTCCCAGCCGAGAATACCCTTGGGCGCAGCCCATCACAGTTTGAGATTCGTGGTGTGGTAGGGCTCGGTAACCTTTGCCACGAATGCGGGACCCCATTTCTCAATAAGACGCTTCCATGTGTCTGACTTGTGGGCTTCATCGATCTCGTCTCTCACTCCAGCCCAAAGTTCCAGACAACCAACGTCGCCTTGTTTGAAATGCTGGATACCCTCGATGTTTCTCGAGGCCCACAAGGAGATGACAGCGTCAAGATCTTGGCAATTATTCTGTGCGAAATCCTCTTTGGCGGACTGAATGAGGGACTCATTTTCCGTGCCACCAATGGTGACCTCTGGCATGGGGCGGAAGCTCTGGCGAAAAGGTTCCAACAGCTCTTCCCGGTTTTGGTAGAAGAGAATTAAGCCGTTGGGCCTTCGAGTTGGTACGGTGGACGCTTGATCACCGGTGCAAGTTTGAAGTCCAGAGTTACAAGACTCTTGTAATCCTCCAAGCGATCATCACCTCCCTTGATGGCCTCGCACAGGAGCCCGGCGTCGCTAAACAGCATGATGACGTTGCAAGGCTACAAGAGCTCTGAAGGTGGCAGCTCCTTTCTCCATCGAGGGTCGCTGTTTCCTAGGGTAAAACGCATTGCGTAGCCCCGAAAGCGCTGAGTTATGGGCTTGATGACCTTTTTTTTTTTGGCTCTTCTTCTTCGCCTTGGTGCCATTACCCAGGTCGAAAGCTAGCGTAGGAACGCAATTGGGCTTGAGCATGTAGACGACATGTAGATCGCCTGTGAAAGTTCACGAGCAGGAAACGGTTACCCTTGATCATGGCGTCGTAGCTCTGGGCGTAAACTCGCTTGTTAACGCATAAGATGCTTGGACTGTAGAGGTCGTGTTTGGGCCTGGGATAGGAATGTGCGGAGCTAAAACTCAACGGCGGGTGAGTGGGTCCCTAGGTCTGATACGTTGTGAGTCAGTACGTATACCGTCAAAGCATGTTCACGAATGCTTGCGCGGCATCTTCGTGTGTTTGCATTCAACGCGAAGTTTCCTAGCTACATTCGCCTCAGCTAGCACTCAAGGCTGTCAGGCATAAAGCAACTCCAATCGCTCAACAAGGTAATATGTGCACGTCTCCATTTCCATCCACGGTAACGGTGTGTCGCGTGGCATGGCAGACAAGGAAACGTTGCATGTTGATGAGTGGTGTCTACAAACTTCCTTCTGGTCTTTTGTACACTGGTACCACTATATCAGGGTCGTATGTGGATTGTACAACCTTACTTCCTAGAGGAAAGATTATCTTAGTACCATCAGGTAATTCGACTTCCCCGGATCTATCGCTCGCAATCATCCATGCACTCCTCAACCCCGCCTCTCTCGCGACATCTTCTTTGATTCGGTATACGGTCTCCGGTCGCGGCATGAAGTTATCCAAGTCTCTGCCGTCTATACTCTCTTCCAGCTCGTCCGGTGTAGCTGTAACCCAGGTTGGGTTCATGTAGCGCTCTTTGATGTGATTGAAGCCCGTGCAGAATATTTTGTCTTGAACAAAGTCCTCCGGAGTGGGATAAGGCACATCGACAGTGTCTAAATCGTTTCGAATATCGGTGTTGGCGATACTGTAGTTCGCATGCTGGATGACAACGTCGCGGATGTCCATGCGAATCTTATAAAGAGTATCGAGGTTCTCGGCAATTCCCTCATCGACGTCGAAACGCTCAGCAAAACTGTCAAGATACCAGATACCGCCGTCAATGGGCGTTTGAGCGTCGATAACAAGTAAGGCCTCTGCTTCGGCGAAGACTCTCCTCAAGTTTGCATGGGAGACGTCTGGCAAGTCGCGTTTGTCTTGGATGAACAGCTGTCCTGAAGGGTTTGGGGAGCACATGTTGGCACCTGTGCCAAACAACACCTGAACTGCATCAAGTTGCGCGGACGTAAGATCGGCGATGAGAATGCCAAGAAAACGCTCTTTGTCGCGGTACAAGTCAGGGTTGTAGACCATGATGGAAAAGCTGTGTCAAGGACGAACAGCACAATGCAGAGTAACAAGAGACCCTTATATGTCCGGACATTAGAGTGGCCTGGTGTCTAACATGTCATCGTGAACCGTAGTCACACGCACAAGTGTCCTCAACAGCTACGCAAAATCAGTCCGAAGCTTAGTCGTATATTGATTGGACAAAGGACTGGGCAGTGCGAAGCGGTAGAGGAAACAATTGAGGCTGATGCCTATACTGTCATAGATCCGGAACACGGCATTGTGGACTGGTGTAGAGCCGATCACATTTCCTGTCAGACGCACAACGAGCCAATGACGTAGTAGGTGAGTCTGGAGCATGGATGTCTTGTGTCGCGCGTTGATGCCTTAAGTTGTTCCTGGCTATAGCATGCGAAGTGGGGGAGCTGCAAGCCACTATGGTGGGAGCCTGTTGATGGGGTGCATTGGTGCCGTAGGGTTCGGCCCACGTTGACGCCGAAAGTCGATACAATCAATGCAAGGTGACAGATTTGACGTGGACTCTCTTCAGTGGCCAGGAAGGTGATGATGGGCGGCGAGAATGAAACTAGGTGGTGATGCTCGGTGTGTTGTGCTGGCCGTCTGGGCGTGGATTGGAGCGCTATGAGACCCTGCTGTTGCACTCCCCACATACATGTGCTAGCCCAGCGCGTGAGGGAGTCGCGACTGAGAAGCGACAGGTACGCCATACCATTCTCTGCTGTTCAGATCCATTCCATCAGGCCGGCACTTGCTGCACACCCCGCTGAGTGCGCGATTGTGAGTGCATTGATCAGCATAGGCCCCTGAATCCGGCACCGAATGGCGACACCTCCCCCGGCTCGCGACAGAGCTCTCTCGGAAAGCGTGCCAGTCGGGAGTCCGCAGCCCAAAAAACTGCCCGCCCCCTCGACGCCTACATCGTCAGTCCGCCGCAAGATGGCTGCCAATGCACCTTCCCCAGCCTCGAAAGATGGCGTCGCTCCTCGCCGCCCGACTGCAGTCAGCGGCACCGCTGCGAGCGCCCGTCGACCTGCTGCGGCATCAACAAGCACGGCGCGAACAGCTGCGAGCGCGTCCAAAGCCCCCACCACGGCGGCATCGCGTACCAGCACAGTGGGATCCAGTCTGAACAAGCCCCCTACGCGTCCGGCCCCGGGTACGACCGCGCGCAGGACCGTCTCATCGTCGAGAACCGCATCGGATGCCGAGCCAGATCTGTCGTCGGTCACATCAGGCGATGAGAAGAAGAGGACAGCAGTGCGCCGGACGCCAGTCACGTCGTCAGCTACTTCAAGGCCATCTCCTGCCAAACCGACTTCGAGGCAATCCATTGCGCCTTCCTCCACGACAACAACCGCAGCCAAGCGTCCCGTAACCACACGCCCACCTGCAGAGGCAGCAACGACCCGGACTGCCCCGCGCGCCTCTCTTGCCTCGTCGACACGGCCGACCGCTACTCGACCCGCGGCAGGAACACGGACGGCAGGCGCAACAGCGAAGGCGTCGGCTGGGCCTGCGAAGAAGCTGTCCGTGTCTGCCCCTCCACCACCAGCGCCGGAAACGGAGGATACAGCCGAAGAAGCGTGAGTCAGGGTATCAATCACCAGAGTAACTGTCTTCTAATCCAGACACAGAGAGAGCCCCGTCGTCGTCACCCCTCGCCGTGCGCCCCTCAAGGACAAAGCTGCCTCTGATGCCGAAACTGAAAAACGCAAGAGCGCTCTCGAGCCCATCCGGACGTCCATGGCGAAACTCGGCGAGGAACCGCCGCGTCCGGATACTGCGCCGACGGGACGTGCCGAGATGGATGTGGAGATGAAAAGGCGGAGCGCTCAGATCATGCAAGACTTCTTCAAGGAGACCAATCTACGCGACAAGCTTCAAGAGCAATGCGACGACCTCACCCGTGAAGTTGATAACCTGCAATCCGAAAAGGACAAGCTGCGCAAACAGTTGGCGGATGCTCAGGCTGCCATTGTTGAAAAGGACAAGGCCATCTCCGGCGGCTCAGATGCCTCGCCCTCGCAGCACCGCGCCCACACGATCCTCGTCGAGGACATGGAAAAGAAGTTTGCGAGAGAGACCAAGCAGCTGGAAGAACAGAGCCAACAGCTGGAGGAAGAGAAGAAGGCTGCGCAGGAGAGAGAGGCAACCGAAGCTGCCAAGGCCAGCGAGCTGCAGCAAGTCTTAGACGACCTGAATGCCGAGCTGGAACAACAGGGCCAGCAATGGGATGAGGAAAAGAAGAAGCTCGTGGAGCAAGCCGCGCAGATCGAAGGACTCAACACGGAGATTTCCACGCTTCGGGATGAGCGTGACAGCTTGTTGCAGGAGCTGGACATCGCCAAGAAGACGCTGGAAAACCTCGAAACCAAGTTCGCAGAGCTCGAACAGACACAATCGGATAATCTCCGTTCGCGTGATGCTAAGATCAACGAGCTGACCAAGACTGTCGACGAGTACGTGCAGGAAGTTGCCTCTCGGGAAGAGAGGCATACCAACGCTCTTCAAGAAGCACAGCGATCTCTCGAGTCGAAGTCATCCGAGTCTTCAGCTGTCGTGGAGCAACTTCAATCCGAGATCCAGACGCTACATCAGAAACACACGGACGAACTGCGCTTCAAGGAAGAGACCATAACATCTCATATTCAGACACAAAAGGAGCTCCAAGACGACATTGCCAAGCTGCAGGAACGGGCGGATCAAGTTTCTGCAGACTTGGAAAACGAACGCAATGCCCACGCAGAACAGATCCAGGCCAAGATCGACGAGCTACAGAACAGTTCGGAAGCTGAGCTGCGAGCTAGAGAGGCCGAGCTTTCTGGCCATCTCAAGTCGATCGATGGTCTCCAGGAACAGATCGTGGCTCTGCAGCAAGGTTCAACTGATGGTGCCAGAGTCGCTGAAGAGCTGCACAAGCAAATACAAGAACTGAAGGAGGCACACGAGGCAGCGATCAAAGTCAAGACTAATGAGAACGAGGAACTTGTGCGACAACTGGACGCCATGAACGAGCAGCTCACTACTGATGCCGCCGAACTGGAACAGCTCAAGGAAGAGGCCGCCAGTCTGCGCAGCACCATCGAAACATTCGAAAAAGCCTCACAACAGCAGGAGTCGCAGCACGCCTCTGACACGGCGAAACTCCAGGCCGAACTGAATGACGCGAACAAGAAGGTGGAAGCCCACAAGGCAGAGCTTGATGCGCTGCACGATAGACACAAGCAAGATCTTCGTGTCATCGGTGAGGACTACGAACGCGAGATTGAGTCGCTGCGGGCGGACCTTGAAGGAGACGCAACCAAGCGGCTCAACACCCTGCAGGCTGACTACGACTCCCTTGTGATCGAGAAGAGCAAAATACTGGAACACCATGAGCAGATCCTTGCCGAACGATCCAGCGAGCTTGAAGCTGTCAAGAAGCAGGCAGAAGAAGCGCAGGAGAGCACCGCTCGCGCGACCGAAAACCGAGACGATGCGCTCATGAAGCTCAAGAAGTTTGAAGAAGAGAAGATTGCTCTTACAGAGGCTCACGACATCTCTCAGTCTCTAGTCGCCGATCTTCAAGCCCGCGTTGATGCCCTCACCCAGGAAGCTGCCACTGTCAAAGACGTCCAGTCTCAATTAGACCGTCTAAAGGAGGAGAAAGCAGCCGTAGAAGAGGCGCATGGTATGACTCAGTCAATCATCGCCGATTTGCAAGCCCGTCATGACTCTCTTCTGGAAGACAAGACCGCTGCAGAAGACGCCCACAGCCGAGCAATCGAAGCGCTGAAGCAGGACTCTGAGAGCCAGTCAAAACATCTGCTCGATGAACTTCAAGCGAAGTACGATGCCTTGCTGGAAGAGAAGAAGGCTGCAGCGCAAGAACACTATCGCGTCCTTGAGACCCAGAAGCACGACGCCGATGCCTATGCTTCTTCAAAGCAACTGATTGAAGAACTTCAATCCAAATACGACACTTTGCTGCGCGAGAAGACTGCTTCCGAGGACGAACACGAACGTGCTATCGAGGCTTTGAAGCAGGAATCAGAGACTACATCCAGACAGCTCACCCAGCAGCTCCAGGCCAAATACGACACACTAGTCGAAGAGAAGAATGCAAGCGAGGGGACCTATGCCCAGACGATCGAAGCTTTGAGGACCGAGTCGGAGAGCACGACCAAGTCGATCCTGGGCGAGCTTCAATCCAAATACGACGCACTGTTGGAAGAGAAGTCCTCGGCTGAAGATGAGCATAATCAAGCTATCATGCACTTGAAGGAACAGGCAGAGGGCGTGTCTAAGCAGCTTCTGAGCGAGCTCCAAGCCAAGTACGACCAAGCTCAAGAAAATGCTAAGAGTACGTCTGAAGCTTTGAGCGCTTTACAAATGAAGCACGATGCTGCCAAGGAAGAGATCGCCAGTATCGAGGCAAACCGCAAGGCTGAGATTGATGCTCTCCAGAGTCAGCGGGACGACCTTTCTAAGCGACTTTCACAACTCGAAAAGAGCCACGCAGACCTACTGACTGGGCAGCTGGTGACTGAGGAAGCACACGCCAAAGCACTCGAAACACAACAGGCTGAGATTGAGCAAAAGTATGCTAGTCTACTTGAGATCATGCAAAGCGATGCCGATCGACTGGAACAGGAGAGGTCTACGGCGCTATCGGGCAAACAATCCGCCCTCAACGAACTCGCTGCTCTTAAGAAAGAGCTGAACGCTGAGATTGATGAACTTAAGGCCGGACTGTCCACGAAAGATCAGGTCCAACCTGCCGGAAATGACGAGATGACCCTGAAGTATGAATCCCTTCTCGCGAAGAAGACCGCTGCAGAGAAGGAGCATCAGGACGCCATGGCCTTGCTCAGAGACTCGCTCACAGAAGACTATGAGCAGACCATATCGAAATTGCAATCTGAGTATAACGCCTTGCAACAAAAGATTGCGAAGGCAGATCAAGAGCAGAGTGACGCGATTGAGCTCCTGAAAGACGAGTTTCAAGCTGGTCATTCGAACGA